AACTTGGAGGCTGAATTATCCAGCATTACGAAAGGATGCAGATAAAAGTTTTCATGACCTTTAGTCTGTCAGCAATAAATACCACATTGTCTCTCCTGATAAATATATTCCAGTGGTAGACTTTCTTGTTTGGAAGCCTTTTGTTTTGGCAGAAAAAAAAATATATTCTTAGACTATAGAAAATATACTTCTGGGGGTTTTGGGCCAAAGGAGTTTTAAAGAGGTAGAGTCACATGATAAGAAATAAACTGGTCTCTGCCCTTGTTTCCTAATACAAAGACCCTAAAACCCTTGAAGTATCTGAAATTTTGCATCATTTTGCCTGCTAACAAGATAACTGATAGCTAGGGACTCCTGGATAGCATTGGGATGGGGGCCAATTGCCAGGGTAACAGCTATGTAATTAGAAGGTTGGAACTTCTTCTATCTTCTGGGAGAAGGAGATAGGCTGAGAGTTAAGCACCAATGGCCAGTAATTTATTTAATCAATCACTCCTTTGTAATGAAGTCTCCAAAAAATCCAAAAATTATGAAATTGGGCAGCTTCTGGGTTGGTGAGCACAGAGAGATGCTGGGAAGTTGATGCTCTTGGAGAGGACATGGAAGCTGTGTACCTCCTTCCCTATACCTTGCCCTCTGCAATCCTTTCATCTGGATCTTGCTGCATTACATTGTTGTGTGATAACAGTGATATGGTAAATAGACAGTCTTTTGAGTTCTATGATCCATTCTAGCAAATTATCAAACCCAAGAAATGGGTCATGGGGGACCTCGGAGTGTATAGTTGGTTAGTCAGCAGCACAGTTAACAACCTGATCTTGAAATTGGTGTCCCAAGTTGGAGACAGGTCAGTCTGCTGGGACTGTGAGATCGTATGCTAATTGCAGGTAGATAGTGTCAGAATTGAACTGAATCATAAAACTTAGCTGGTGTCAAAAATCTTGTTGTTAGGAGAAAGAAACCTCCCCAATATTTCGTGGCCAGATATGAATATAAATGGTTTGCTTTCTTTATAGAGATAGAGAAACAGAAGCCCAAGTACAATTGGTGTGCATGTAGTTTAAGAAAATTTGTAGAAATATGACATGTGAAGATGACAGATAAGGTAGCAATAAGTTATAATGTTCCCACATTTGCTGTAGGCAATCATGGTAACTATAGAGATTAATTCAGCGTATTAGAATGCAGACAATCCCTGCTGCTTCTCTGAACACCCTCCCTCATCCATCCAAATCAGGATCAAGCAATTGTACTACTGAACTTCTTTGTGGCTTCTTTCCACTTTCACGCATTTGCTAACTGAAAGTCCTTTAGCAGAGTATGAAGCCTTAATTGCTGTGTAATTGCAGAAAAGACCTCACTATTTAGGAAAAACTTCTTCAACTGAATATTTTTCCTAAGATTATACTAAGAGATACTAAAAGATAAAGTTAGTATTTTTCCTGAGCTATCAGCCATATTGCTATTGAAATTTATTTGTTTGATAATAACATCTTTAGGAGCTTATGGATTTCTAAGAACATGTGCATTAAGACAGTAAGTAAATTGGCTTCAGGATCTTTATTATGTAGGCTGTGTGTGTTTATTAATCCTTTTCTAGGAATATAATTTACTGTGTTGCTATTATAAATGATATCTCAGGGTTGTCAGCTTATGTGGGCTACTTGGGATAAAAATCTATAGATAATGTCACTTAACAGCTACTTATTTAGTATAATTTGTTGACTGGATATTTAGATACAGTTTAACTGGGACCGCAAAATTTACTGATTTTGCCACTCATTCCATGAGCCCCAATTAGTATGATACTAGAGGGCCAGGTGTTACCTATACATGCAGTAGGTGATGGTACAGAGAGGGACCTTGAGTACAGGAGGTCCAGGTCTTTCATAATGACCAGTGAGTCTTCTTGTCCTTTGCTTTGGAGGCAGATACTGTCTCTGTTTGTTATGCAATTAGACCTATGCTAACATGCTGTGCAGAAACAAAAGTCATGGAGAATATCGATATGATTATCTTAAATATTTTATTCTTAATTTTGATATTCCCAATAAGATACTTATTCAATAAGGCAACAATGATTTTACCTCAAGCCATTGGGAATAGCTTCTCATCAGAGTTTGTATGATAAACTAGAGATTTAAGTTCAAACTTGCTTGAATTCTTCTTGACCACCTTTACTGCCACAGTGGCAAAATCATAGGCTGCCATATGGGATGATCTCACAGCTCTATACACTGAATTCATATTACAAGGCAAGCAATTCTTGGCTCTAATTCAGGCACTATGTGTCTCCCACCCAGGTGGTGGTATCATTGGATTAGATTTTGTATTCTTTTGGCTTAAAAGAAATGTAAACATTTTCCTGTCTATATGTAAATGACTTTTGACCTTGGTGAAGTCTTACGTTTTTCCTTTCATATATTTCCTTCGTGGTTCAGTCACACAATTGCAGATAATAAATAATATCTAAAGTTTGGAGTTTCATTATAATTGTTTGTCCTACTGGGATATTTTCAAAGGCTATTTGATTGGGACTAATAAAATAAATTTGTTTTCAGAAGTCCTAGAATTACAAACTTCAGAAGACTATTTTTTTCAGGCTGGAGTAGCTTAGTAAAATGTGTATAAAAGAAATAGTATTCATTGATTTTTCTTTTTTTTGTTTGTTTTTATAGCTGACATTGTTTATTAAATAATATGTTAGGGGCATTTTTCCATGTTAGCAAGTGTTATTCTATGTCATAGTTTCTTGGCTACATAATATTCCATGTTACCATTTCTGTTAGTTTTTTTAAAATTAATTTTATTGGTACATTTTATTGGTACACTTTAGGTATACAGTTTGTTTACATTTATCATTGGGTACCTGTACATGCTATATCTTGGTTCTTATTTTTTTCCCCATTACCTGTGAGCCCTTCACCCCCTCCACCCTTCCCTATTTACATAGATTTCATTTCCATTTTTTTTCTTTTCTCATAATTTTTCCTTTCCTTTCTTGCCTTTCCCCTTCCCCTCCCGCCACCCCTACTCCTTTAGATCTTTTCCTATTTCAAATTATCAATTATTCATTTTAATCATTTTCATCCTTATTTACACTTTCTGTTTCTCACACTAGAGATACCATTCGGTATTTACACGTGTGTCCTATTTATTTCACTTAAGAGTATGGCCTCAATATGCATCCATTTACCTATAAATGACTCTAGTTTCTCATCCTTTATGGCTGAGTAGTACTCCGTTTTATAAAAAAAACCACATTTTCTTTATCCAGTTTCCAGTTGATGGGCACTTGGGCTGTTTCCAAGCTTTAGCTATTACAAGCTGTGCCGCTCTGAACATGGGTGCACATATATCACTGTGGTATGACTCTTTTAATTCTTTTGGGAAGATAGCCAGCAGGGGAATAGCTGGGTCAAATGGGACCTCTAGCCCTAGTTCTTTGAGGTATCTCCATACTGACTTCCACAGTGGTTGCACCAGTCTGCACTCCCACCAGCAATGGAGAAGGGTTCCTTTCTTTCCCATAACCCCACCAGCATTTGTTATTGTTGATTCCTTGATAGCAGCCATTCTTTCTGGGGTGAGGTGGAATCTCAGTGCTGTTTTCATCTGCATCTCTCAAATTATGAGTGATGTTGAACATTGTGACAGCAGAGACATACCCTGAAAGAGGCCCTTCATCTTCATGGTTATTTTTTCTTCCCAAAATTAGTTTTATTATTTTGTTATTTTTCCTCTTCTCTTTTGCTCCTCTTAACTTTATTTTTTTCCCTACTCTTTGCAAATATTTGTTTTTCTCTCCTTTTTTCTTTTCTTTTCTTCTTTCTTTTCTCTTTCCTTTCTCTCTCTCTCTCTCTCTCTCTTACACTCACTCTCTTGCTCTCCCACATTGTTCATCTTCCATTTTTGTCCCTGTTTTGGTCCTCATTCAGAGTTCTTTATTTTCCTAGTATTCTCTTTTTCCTTCTCACCTGTGTCCTCTGGCCACACTGCTAACCTTCCCCTATCCTTCTTCCCATCTGTCCCTCCCTCCCCAACCCCTTCTAACTCCCCATCCCAAAGGATAAAGTTGTTATATTGAAGAGTTTATTCACTACATGTTGGGTTGGTCTTTGATCTTGATTTAATTCACACAGCTAAAAGTGATAGATTAATAACTACCACAAAATGTCATTTTCAAAGATGTACTTGATGCAGTGGTGTTGCTGATTGTATCACTTGGGCTAAGGTGTTGTTATTGATCTAGTCAGTGAACCTTCCTAGTATAAGGAAAATGAGATAGCCTTAGAGTTATTAGAGACTCAAAACTTAAAGACCAGCTATATCTGGAAGACACTTCTGAGAAGCAATCATTCCATAAGGGTTCTAATTATAAGCAACAAAGATACTTACAATAAGCAATTTCAAACTATTGATTTTTCTTATATGAGTGACAGCTTTTCTTCTCCAGCTTTCATGAGAATGTAAATCTAAAATGTAGTCCATAATTTTCTTGAATGCTGAGTTCGTATTTCCCCTTTCATTGTTTACTAGCTTTTTGGCAGATAGCATGTACAATTGTTTAATATGGTTTCACAAACTCTGTGGTTTCACTGATGAGTGTCTCTAAATCATTTGCTGCTACCTGCAGTTATAATAAATTTAAAAGAAGCATCTTTAGAAAACTCAAACTTTTTTTCCTTCAGTAGCAGCACTGCCATAAATTGCTATGAAATACAGCTTCAGGTTGATAGCATCTATCATCTTACACGTAGTAAGACATTTAAACAGAGAATATAATGAGAAGTGTCTCAGCCACAGAGGGTCTCTCTCTTTTTTCAAAAAAATCAGCAACTACTTAGGCAATAATGAATTCTATGCTAGCTTACAAAGATTTCACACATACACAAATACACACTAAATATTAATGCTGTAAAAGTTCTAAATGTGCTTTCTTCTTTCTAGACTTGTGAATTTTTCCTATTTGATTTTTTCAGAAAAGAACATAATTAGCCCAGTTGGGCTTGAACTTACATTCATCCTGTCTCAGCCTTTGTAGCTTTGGGATTATAGGTATGTATGCCACCACACGTGGTTTATCTGCATCTAATGATTTTGGAGTTTTAATTATTATATTTATGTGTAATTAATGCACAGATCTTGAGCAAACAATTCAATGATTTTTGAAAATTGTATACACCTGTGCAACCACAACTCAAATTAAAATAAAAAACATTTCTGTAACTTTAGAAAGCTATTTAAAATTTTTTTTTACATCAGTTACTTTGAATGCCCAACACTTTCATATTTCTACCACCATTGATGAGAGTTTTGCTTGTTTTTGGATATCTATAAAGACAATTGGTCTCATTTAGACATATTATATATTTATTAAACATTTGATTTTTAAGCTTCTGGATTTTATTACATTTTTGTGCATGTGCTAAGGATCTATTAAAAATTTGATAAATATATATTATTGAATCACCTATCCTTTCCCCATTGATTTATTGGAACATACCATTCATATTTTATTTCATGTTTACCAATAAAAGCCAGGTCTTTTACTGGATCATCTATTTTGGTTTTCTATAACTGTATCTATACCACTGTATTATTAATATAATTTAAAATGAGTATTTTTATATGATAAGACACATTCTATGACCTTATTTTATTTCAAAATCACCTTGGGTGGGTGCTCTTTATCTTTTATACTCCAGATGGATTTTAAGACTGCTTGGTAAATCTCATGAAATAGATTATTTAAAGAAATATAATATCTTTGCAATATTGTTACCCATACATGAAAATGATATAACTGTCTTTATTCAAGTCTTTTTATGATTAAAAATTGTTTCATAAAATGTTGCACACTTTTTGTTAGCTGTATTCCTTGGTATTTGGTAGGTTTTGTTTGGTGGTGGGTGGAATGATACCTCCCCAGAGACATTCCTGTCCTAATCCCAGGAAGCCGTGAACATCACTGGTGTCACCATTTTATTAATTCAAACAAAGTATGGAAATTTCTTTTCTTTTTTTTTGTGCCGGAGATTGAACTCAGAACCTTGTGCTTGGAAGGCGGGTGCGGTGGTGCTGAGCTAAATCCCCGGCCCTGTAAATTTCTTTAACCTCCCTTATTTATAATATGTTTGTACTATATTAAATTTGTATTAAATATTTCCTCTATGTACATTAAGAATTACATCAGTCTTAAAAACTTTTTTCATACACAAGAGAAGAAAGTTGATTGTATTTATATATTTGCTTACCTTGTTCTTTTTTCTTTCCTGAAACTGAACAATTTTTTATTTATAGAGCTTTTAGTCACTGTTTTAGAATAGGCTTGCTGGTAACAAGCTTTTGATTCATCCGAGAATGATTTGATTTCTCCTTCATTCTTGAAATATATTTTAAATGGATATAATATTCTTGGCTGACAGAGTTCTTTTCTTTCATTATCTGTGAAATGTTGTACTGCTTTATTCTAGACCCCATGGTTTCTGATGAGAAATGCACTATGTAGGAAAAGTATCATTATTTGGCTCTTACATGTCCCTCAAAAGCCATACAATAAGGGCTTCCGGTAACCAGCCAGTGGCACAGTTGGAATGGGGCAGAACTTTTAGGAGGCAGACCTAGCAGGAGGAAGTTAGTCAAATTTTGTCACTGAGAGTGTTTCCTAGAAGGGGATATTGGGGCCCCAAGCCCCTCTGCTCTCTCTCTTTGCTTCCCAGGTGCCATGAGGTGAACATTTTTGCTCCACCACGTGCTTCTAGATGTTGTGCCTCCCTAAAGGCCCCTAAAACAATGGTGCTGAGGGACCCTGGGCTGATACCTCTGAAACCATGAGCCAAAATAAACCTCTTCTCCTTTAGGTTGTGTCAGGTAGTTTGTCACAGCAGCAAAAAGCCAACTGCTATCATTTCTTATTTTCTTCTTTTCAAAATATTTTTGTCTTAACTTCTCAAAAATTTGACTGATAAGCGTTGGGAAGGATTAATATAGGTTTATCCTGCTTGAAGATCACTTATCTTTTGAATGTGTAGGTTTATTTTGTAAATCAGATTTGAGGAATTTTTGAGTATTACTTCTTTTAGCTCTTTTTCAATCCTTCTCTCTCCTTTTCTTTTATGATTCTGAGGATTAGGAAAGTAAATCTTGTGTTGTAGTCCCACAGTCCTTTGCATTTTTTTAGTCTATTTTCCATCTGTTGTTCAGATTGAGTAATATATTGTTCTATCTTAGATTTTACTGATTCTTTTCTTTACCCCAACCTTTCTGTTGTTGAACTCATCCACTGAGTTTTATTGCAGCTATTTTATTTTTCAGTAACTCTGTTTCTGTAGGGGGCAAAGAAACCCCCAGGGAAAACAGAGACAGCTGGTGGATTTTACAACCCTTGCTAGCAATTCTATGTGCTCAGGGTATGGACATATTCAATTCTAAAGAGAGATATGACAGTGATATATAGATAGAAGCTGGGGATGACTGAGTGTACCAAATTCTGTAGCAAGATCTGCCATTGAATGGCAGCCTAATTCCTTATCAGTAGCATCTGATTGCATGCAGGTGAGGCAAAGACAAGGATCCCAAAGTTCTAGCAGAAAGTAGTTGAGACAGAATCAATACAATGCAAACCATACAGATCACATCAGAGGAGAACAATGCCGTGAAAAAGACTCTGAAGTGTCCCTCTGGAGAAACGGCTGCTCAAGAAAGGCATCAGCACAATAGTGCAATAAAATTGGAGATCAATAACATAAGAAACTGCAAAACACCCACAAACACATGGTAATTGAATAACACTCTCCTGAACAACCAATGTGTCACAGAGGAAATTAAAGAAGAAATTAGACAGTTTCTACAAGTAAATGATAATGCCAGTACAACATACAGGAATCTGT